TAGCAAAGATCTTTGTAAAATGCCCGAGCTAATCCCTTCTAAAATTGTCTTCTCCCCTCAACCTCGGGTCCCCACACCCTTGTTTCTTTACTTGGCTAACGCCTCCATGCTGTTCACCTCTTTCCCCCCACCCCTTGGACTCCCCTAACTGTCTGGCGCTTAGCTCCTAGGCAATGCTCACTGACATGGCTTCCCTCAGGCTCCTCTCCTTCTGGATTTCCTTTGGCCATTCTGCACTTTGCTTACAGTCCATCGGTGTCACCAAATCCAGCAGGCGCCATCTTTGAAGGTGAGAAGGTGAGGTAGAGCAGAGATTCCCACATCTCATCCCAGCAGCGAGCATCAGTCACACCCTCTTCATTTCATCTTGGGCTTCTCCTTCCATAAGTTGTTTGTCGGGTGTTCACCCAGCGTGTTGGGAAGCTCACGTTCTCAGTGGAGCCCGTGAGTTGCTTGTCCTTGGTGGGGTGGACGTGGTAAGACGTGGCACCTGCTTATCTCTTTTGGGTAAGGAGGGTGCAGAGGTGAGGCGGTGCTCCTGGGAGGCTCAGCGATGGTGGGGTGACTCGCTGTGTCCTGGACACGGAGGTTTTGAGATGTCTCGTGAACTGTCCAGGCAGCCAGTGGGAGAGCTGGGGTTCGTCTGCACAGCAGTGATGGGGATGACAGAACCCCTAGTTTTGGGGGAGAAAGGGGAGAGAAGGAACACCATCTCTTTTTCCAGCCCGCCTTTATTGCTTCCTCCTGGCACTTGCCTCCTTTGAACCCCTAGCATTGTCCTTCCGCCTCTCTTAGAGCCCTTCTTGTGTTTGCTTTGGCTCCCTCACTGGACCCTAAACCCTTGAGGTGAAGGAGGTGACTATGTCTCTGGCACAGCCCTCAGTCACCCCGCTGGTTCTGTGAGCATTCTACCTCAGGTGCTGATTCTGCCCCCTCCATGCATTTTTCATCCTGTGTGATGCCTGTCCTCCCCGGGGTGGGGTTCATTCACATTCTGGGGCTTTCCTCAGTGGGCCCCAGAATTCCATCCACCTCGAGTTCCTCATTCTGGCCTACTTCCCCTCCTTTGTGCTGTTCTTTAGTACGCTTTGGGGTACGCTTCCTTGTTGGTCATGTGCCCACTTACCAAGTGTCTCTTCCATTGCCCATCGAGTGGCCTTTGGGAGAACTTTGGATCTTTGGAGAACATGGTAGTTTATGACTTGTATCACTGGAAGAATATTGTGGTTAAAAGGCTGGACCTTGGTATTGGATAAGCACTCTGATTCAGTGACTTGCCCAGGGTCACACAGCTTGTCAGTTCTGGAGCTGGCATGCAAACTCAGGCCCTCTGACTTGAGTAGTTCTCAAAGTCACTTCAGGCCAGGTCCTGAATCACCTGAAGGGGTCACTTTATTCACATTTGCCCTCCATGATTTCTTTGGGCTGGAACCAATGACCGTGTTTGACATAATCCTAACGTTGGATTTGAATACATGTGACCACTTCACAGGATTCAGTTTGCACTGGTTGGGACCAGCTGTGGATAGCTCCAGTGATGATGGTCAGGACAGTGAAATTGCCGAGGGAATGGGGGATTTGTTCATTCAGTGATGAATGACAGAAATGTGGTCTTTTCACTAACAATCATCTTCCCAAAGTGACAAGATCTCATCCTGAAGGCCAGGAAGAAATTTACGATTTGAGACAAAGCGATTCTTGTTCTTTCCTCTCAGTGCTCGAGATGCTGACCTAGATTTGGTAACTGTTGTTTCTCAAGATTAGCAACATTCGGGAAGGCGGCAATGGATTCAGAGTGCTGGAGCTTGGAGGGACTTTTGACTTTATCTGGGCAAACCCTCAGTTCAGATGGATGAGGAAAGTGACTTCCCTAAAGCCCAGGAGCAGAGAACACCCTTTGCTTTCTCTTTCAGGCCCTTGCTCTCCTCTTTGAGAGGAGCCCTGTTCAACTTTGACACACATGACTACTTTTCTCTTCTCTTTCCAGTTAACCCTGTGACCAGGGGAGCAGAATGAAGATCTCGGGCCTGAAAGATGATAATTTTGGTGATTTTCCTTTTTTCTCTCCTTTTTGGATTGAATTTTCTGAACATGGGCCAGTTTTTACAGGCATTTTAGAAACAACAACTCAGCTTTATAAATTCTGTTTTTCTACATTTTCTATCTTGTTGATTTCTGGCCTTAACTCCATCTTGTTGTTGTTCAGTTGTTTTCCAGTCGTGTCCAGCTCTTCATGACCCCATTTGGGGTTTTCTTGGCAAAGATACTGGAGTGGTTTACCATTTCCTTCTCTTGCTCATTTTACAGATGAGGAAACTGAGGCAAACAGGGTAAAGTGATTTGCCCAGGGTCACACAGCTATTTGAACTCAGGAAGATGAGTCTTCCTGACTTCAGGCATGGCACTCTGTCTACTGTGCCCCCTAGCTGCCCCTAGCTCTTTTTAACTCTCCCTTATTTTTTCTTTCATTTTGATTCATATCTTTTATTTTTACATCAGTTTCATTTCTAAATGTATGTCTCCTCCCTCCTCTCCTCAATGGGCTATGTCTTGTTAAAAAAAATAAAAATAAAGAGAGGGAGAAAAATGGAGATCAGCTCGTCATGACTTACTGACATCGGCCATGTCTGACAGGATATGAAGTCAGCTCCTCCAGCTCTCCCATGAGAGGAGGGAGATGCATGTTTTCATCTTCGGGGAGGGGGGGAAGAGTAACTGGCTGGGTTATAACTAAATAGCATTGAGTTCTTTCCATTTATGTCTTTGTTATTTTGTGTATCGTTTGTGGATTTTATTTGCATCACCCTGCATCAGGTTCAGAAGAGAAATGGATTCCTTGGGGAGACTGGTTGCTCTTCTGTCTTATTAATAGAACTGCTCACTGTCACAAATTGGATCGCAACAGTTGCCTTGGTATTGTTATTCGCATTTTTAAATTTTTCCCAATATTTTAAACCCAATTATTTACTTGTCTTTGTTTCTTTATAACCTTTTTTTCATGTTATTGTCAAATATTATTACAGTTTAGTCTGAAATAATAAGTTTGATTTGTGCCTTATTAAATTTTTGTGAATTCTCTATTTGAAAAAAATATATTTCTTTCCTTTTTGATTCTGTTTTTCACACATTTCTTACAGCTTGCTAAGTAAGTCCATTTCTTTGTTGTTAATGTGTGTTTTTTCCAATTTCCCATGTTCTGATACTGTGGTATTAAAGTGTCTTATTTCATTTTTGCCGAGTACTTCTTATGTTATTCTTATTATTTTATCAATTAATAATTATTATAATAAATATAGATAATACATGTTATAAAAATTATTAATTTAATTGCTGAATTGTTTGGTGGAGATGTTTCATTTAATGTTTCTTGTAAGCATTATATGATTTCCTTGATAGGATATAATTACTACCACTTTGATTTGCATGGGATATTTTGGACCAGGCTCTTAGTTTTGAGTTATGTTCAGACATAGGCCATGTGTGGGAAAGACAAGGGATCCGTGGGAAAGGGTTAATCTGAAACATCTCTATGCCCTGTAGCAGGTAAAAATAGTGTGACTGGGTAACATCTGTTGTAGGAAGCAAAAGAAGAGGCTAATGAGTCATCAGAAGTCCTGCCTTTGTTCTGGGTTGTAGGAGACTGAAGCTGCTAAGTGACGCAGTGGTCAGTGTGTACCTGGGAGTCAGAAAGACTGGAGCAGAATCCTGCCATGTGACCCTGGGCATGTCTCATTTCCTCTTCACACAGTAGGGATGATGACAGCTTCCTCTCAGGGTTGCTGTAAGGGGCAGATGAGGTAATGTACGGTATATTCTTTTGCAATCCTTGAAGCATTTCGCCACTTCTGGTATCACGGTGCCGGCCCCTCTTGGTAGGGGGGTCAGAGCAGGCTTTCAGTAGAGAACAGTGAGGTTCCTTTCTGCTTGTCCTTAGAAAGTTGGGAGTCTTCATACCAGAGATATGCACTGGCGTAGCAGCGAGCGTGACTTCCTCGGCGAGGGAGCCGGGGCACCGAGCTGCACTTGGCCACGCGTGTAACGGCCTCATTTTGTAATGGGGAAGTGCTGCATGCTAGTTGGCAGCAGGGCCCAGAGAAGAAAACATCACCGGGGTTTCTGTTCCGTGAACTCATTCAGCATTTCCAGCACATGTTGGGGAGACTAGAGTTAGCCACAGGGCAGCTGGGTGGTACAGAGCGCTGGGCCAGAGTCAGGAAAACTCTGGCCTCAGACACATCCTAGCTGTGTGATCCCGGGCAAGTCACTTCACCGTTTGCCTCAGTTTCCTCATCTGTCTAATGAGCTGGAGAAGGAGATGGCAAGCCCATCCAGTGTCTCTGCCAAGAAAATCCCACACGGGGTCACGAAGAATCGGACACAAGTGAAAACCACTGAGCAAGCAATGCCAGCAGAGGGAGCCACGTTTAGCAACGATGACAAAAGGCATCTGGTGGCAGGGGTGGGAGCAGTGCCTGGCCAGGCTGAAATCCAAACCCAGTCCCTTCTCTGATTCCCACTTAGTGCTAGCACCTCCTCCGCTGATTTTCTCCACTTCCTCGTGTGTGTGTCGTGTTTGTCCATAGCTATTTGCATGTCTTAGCACAGTGCGTGGCACGTACTGGACCCTGGTGGACTTGACTCGTAAGCCTGTGTTTAGTCAGCAGGCACTCACTGAGTGCTTCTCGTGTGCCAGACGCTGTGCCAAGGGCTGGGAAACCTGCCCTTGAGTAGCTTCCATTCTGTTGGGGGCAGACAGCCCATAAAAGGAGTTGAGATTGGTGGGGGTGGGGTGGTGACTAGAGTTGAAGATCCTGGGCCTGGAGCTTTGAAGAGAAAGGCCAGGAGAGCTCTGAGGGTAGCCCAGCCAGAGAGGAGTGAAGCTGTGCCTGGCCCGGGCCTCTGGAGTCCTTCAGACGGAGCCAGCCAGCCCGAGCGGGAGGCCGTGGAGGTGGAGGAGCCACCTGGGAGGTCGGTCTCTCTTCTTTCACAGCGACGGCGACATTGCTCGCCCACCTGGAAAGGTTACTTTGTATAGACGCCGGTGTTGCTGCCCATCGTAAAGTGCTTGGGTCTACAAGAACACAGTATTACAAGTACAGATCTCTTGGGGGACGTGGCGGGAGTCAGTGTCATCAAGGCCGAGGGCAGTCTGCGTTCTGGCTCAGGGACAGTCAGGGCCCAAAGGCTCATGGGCCAGGGAGCTTGAGCAGGAGTTTCTTGCTGCCTGTTACCTTTGAGGATGGCCAGTGTGGTGAGCCCAGGAACTTGTAGCAGCTGAGCTTGAGTTCAGGCCTTCAGTCGGCTTATCAACAGGTGTTTATTAAGTGTCTGCTGTGGTGGGCCCTGCGGAGACAAAGAAGTGAAAAGGAGCCTCGCTTTTGAGAGATTGCACTCTCTCTGGGAAGATGTGGAGCCGCTAGGTAAATACAGAATGCACAGCATGAATTCAAGGTAGTTTTTAAGGTGGGCGTGGCAAAGGAGTTTAGTTTCAAAAGAAGCCAGATTCTAGGAAGCAGAAATAGGGATGGAGACCAGCTGGGCACAGGAGTGCGGGGGGGGTGAGTTTGGAGGAATGTCACGTATGAGGAATCCTAAGCAGGCACTCTTGGTTGGAAGGGGAGAAATGTGTGATAATCCTGGGAATGGCAGCAAACCCAAATGGTGAAGTGCTTTGTGTCCTTCTCCCCCCTGCTCCCCCCCCCAAAACAAAGTTGCATTTTATCTTAGAGGCAGAAGGAGCCACTGTGACTTTCCGAGTAGGACCTATGGTTATAGCATGTCCCATGCTCAGTTTTGTGGAGAGAAAGGGGTGACACTTGGGGCAGGGAGATGGATTGAGGAAGGGTTTGCCCCAGTCCAGCTGAGAGGTGCTGAGTGCCTGGACCATAGTGGTGATCTTTGTGAATGGAGATGAGGCGGGGGGGGGGGGGGGGGGAGAAGCATCGTGGTTACGCCTTGGAATGATCAAGGCTTGGCAGCTGATTGGACATGGGAGCAAGTGAGAGGAGGAGCTGAGCTTGTCACCAAGGTCTCAAGTCTTGGGACTGGGCAGGAATCCTTAAAGGAAAGAGGGAAAGGGCTTGGGCTCTGGGGAAGGTGATGGGCCTCCAGAGGAAAAGCAAACTTGAGGTACTTGGCTCCTACTGAGATTGGAAAACTGTCATTACTGTCTAGAGTGGAGAGGGGCTGACATGCCTCAAAGTCAATGTGCTATTGTCACCAATGCTTTTGTTGAAAAAAATCATATTCAGTAAAACATGTCATTATTTTTAACTTGCACAAAGCAGGCCTTTTCTAATCCAGGCCCCTCATTTTATTGCTGAGGAAATTGGAATCCAGGTTGCTTAAGTGCCTTGTCTGAGGTCACACATACATGTAAGTCTTTTGTCACTTCCATTTGGGAGCTCCTCTGGGCCTTAAAGACACCACTCCAGTGCCTCCTCCCACACTCCAATGGCCCCTTCCCCCTGGTCTTTGCCAGTCTCCTCCCCCTCTCCCAGCTGCTAGGGCTCACTCCCACTGTGACTTTGGGTTCTTTTGAATTTGATTCTGCACTTACTTCTATGTGCATGTGTTGTTTTACCCTGACAGAGGGCAGGCCCTCTCTAATTTTTCTGTCTTTGTAGCCCAGCACAGAGTAGGAGTTTAATTCGTGCTTGGTGAGTTGCATTGAATTTTGTGTGCGGTAGTATTCCTGTGCACATAGTACATCCAGATGGGATTTTCCATGCTAGGCTTTTTCCCAGAGACTTAGTGAGAATTTGGCAGAAGAAGAGCTTGTTGCCATGACTGTTATTTCACCAGAGGGTGGAAAGCAGATCAGAGAGGACAGGAAATGTTCTGCGGTGCAGCTGAAGACCTTTGGAGACCTGGCTGGCTCCCTGGATGTTGTTAGTGAAGAAGGCAAAGGGTCTTTTTCTGGCTCAGATGGATATGTTAGAAATGGTTACATAACCGATGGAGTAAGCTTGCACTTAGGACCTTTTGATAGGACAGAGTTTTTGACTTTGGAAATCTTTAACCTGAATTATGTAAGAATGCCTCATAGATTGACTAGCATGTGTGGTGTGGGGGTCTGTGGAAGAAAATGAGTATGTGCTGAAAAATCGCAGAGATGCTCATGGGAGAAATCTGGATGGGAGCTGTGTCTGTTCCCCTGCCTCTTCCTCCTCTCCTGCCCGTTTGTATGGAGCAAAGCATTTTGTTGTTGTGGTTCAGATTTCAGGCGTGTTGGACTCTTCGTGATGCCATGGGGGGGTTTTCTTGGCAGAGATACTAGAGGGGTTTGCCCTTTCCTTCTCCAGATGAGTAAATGGAGGCAAACAGGGTGAAGTGACTTGCCCAGGGACACACTGTAAGTGTCTTAGGCCAGATCTGAACTCAGGTTTTTCTGGCTCCAAGCCTGGTGCTCTATCCCCTGCACTACTTAGCCACCCAGTGAGCCATTTTAGACACAGGGATAAAAGTTGGGCTAGGGAGAAGTTAGCACTGCTCTCTTCATACCTTCACATGCCTTACTTACTTGTCTTTATCCTTGTTCCTGATAAAGCTATTCAAGATGACATGTTTATATCACAGGAGCTGAACTTTAACAGCCATGTGAGAATGATTTCCCTAGCTCTGGTTTACTTTGAGCTGATAGGAATGCCCGATAACCAGGAAGGAGCCAGTAAACAATGGTCAGTTGCAGCTTTTGTCGATGCACTTTGGGAAGACTGTCCACTTTGCTCCGGTAAACTCCACCCTTCAGTGAAGACCAGTGAGCTCTAGTGGCACAATTTATAAGGTGTATACATGCACACACACACACATACATGCAAACACACATGTGTATATATCTGTATATGTGTGTGTATATCTATATCTATATATCTCTATAGGGAGAAAGAGAGAGACAGAGAGAGAGAAAGGACGATGATAATGATAATAAGCTGTTTACCATAATGGATAAGACTCTGACCTTGGAGTCAGGAAGATCTGGGTTCAGATCCTGACTCTAGCACTTAGTGGCTGGATGTCTCTGGGTAAATTCCTTCACCTGCCTTAGTTTCCTCATCTGTACAATTGTAGTGGCCTTCTGTGGTCCCTGCCAGCTCTCTTTTATAATCCTATTGATTTTCTACTGCTGGAATGGAAAAGTAATGTGGCTTGGGCAGAGGGATGGGGGGGGGGACTGTTGTCTCCCAAGGGAAGAAGAAAGTCCATGAAAAATAGAAGGCACCAGTGACGATGCATTCCATTCCCTAGGTCTTGGGACAGTTCCAGTGGAGATTCTTTCTGGGTCTACATCTCCTTCTACTTTGGACAGTCAAGATATCTTAGGAACCTAAAACGTTTTGAGAGAATTTTAGAGATCCTGTCATGTCAAGGACTTTAGAGGTCAGTTGATCACAGAAGCAGAGAATTTCAGAAGAAGGGACTTTCATGGCTGTCAGAGTCCAGCTGATGCCCAAACTGACCCAGCTGTCAACTGTCTCTGAGACCAGCCGTTGCTTGTAGATTGCCAGCAGAGAGGAGCCCAGTACCTTGTAACGTGGCTGTTCCACTTTGGTATAGTCTTAAACTGTTAGGAAATTTTTCCTGAAGAAGCCTCCATCTTTCTCTTGGCAACTTCTCCCCTCTCAGGAGCAAACAGAAGATAGCTACCCCTTCTTCCTTGTAAGAGCCCTTCAGACGCTTAGAGGTAAGGCAGTGAGGATACAAATAAAAGGTTTTTAAGAAGATAGAGCTGAAAAGGGGCAGGCAGGTGGGGAGGTCCCCACCGGAGACACTGTGCTCACGTTGGGCAGTCAGAAGCATAGCCGCTCCAGCGGATCAGATACTCTGGCCGATGCTGCATTTGGCCAGCAAAGTCCTCCATATTCTAGGTCCCTCTTCCCTTTCCAGTCTTCTTATACCTTCTTCCCTACCGCATCTTCTTCAGTCTAGTGACCCTGGTCTTCTGCCTGTTCCATAAACAAACAAGACTTTTCATCTCTTGGCTCTGGGCATTTTCTCTGTCTGTCCCCCATGCCTGGAATGTTCTTTCTCCTCTGTTCTCGCTACTAACCTCCCTGGCTTCCTTTAAGTCCCAACTAAAATCCCACCTTGCGCAGGAAGTCTTTCCCAACCCCTCTTAATTCCAGTGCCTTCCTTACATTCATTATTATTTCTTGTTTATCCTGTATATAGCTTGCTTCGTATGTATTTATTTGCATGTTTTCTCCCCCATTAGATTGTAAACTCCTTGAGGGCAGAGACTTTCTTTTGCCTCTTTTTGTATCCCCAGCACTTTGCACAATGCCTGGCACATAGTAGGTGCTTAATAAATGTCGATTGCCTGATTGATGGCCAGGAAGGGAATGAAGGTTGACTGGCCTTAGTCTTTCCCTTAAGTGGGGGCAATGGAAGAGGGATATTCTGGTGTGAGAAAGCAGGAGGCCAGTTGGGATGCTCCAAAGGGAGGAGGTGTCAGGTGCTGAGGGAGGGCTATTAGGTTCCTACTGAGTCTCCTTTTCTTTAGGTTTTTCTTTGTATGCTCTGTACTTAACACAGTGCCTAGCATGTAGTGTTTCATAAATGGTTGGTGATTGGTTGATTGGCATCTCCAGTTCTCACTTAGTCCTCATATAACAGGGATTCTGGGCACATCATTATGTGGTCTCCCTCCTCTGCATACTGTTCAGCTTATTCTCGTCCTTTCTAAACTAGCGTTCCCAGAACTGAACACGGGGCTCCAGCTGAGATTTGACTGGGGCCAAGTATGGACGGCCTGTCGCTTCCTTATTTACAGGACTGTCCCATTCTCCTTCCTACAAGCTTTGCCTCTTAATGTGGCCCAAGGTCATACTACTTGTTTTGGCTACCATGTCCTGTTGACTCATTGAACCTGCAATCTGCTACAACCCTCAGATTTTTTTTTCAGAGATTCTCTATCTTGTCCTTGGGAAATACATTTTTTTTAATGCAAGAATAAGACTTTGCATTTACCCCTATTCATTTTCATCTGGTGACATTCAGCCCAGTACTGTGGCTTGTGAAGACGTGTCAAAATGGAGGTCTGGAGAAGTGATGTAATTGTTAACTAGTCAGAATGAGGAACAGAACTCAAGTCAAAATTTGTTTAATGCAATCTGGCATTATGAGCTGGAGGCAAAACTGTTTCTGCGGGAGAAAGGGTGACCCACTCTGAAAGTTAAGGCAAAGACCTAGCCTTGGCTACTACCAATCTGAGGAGCCAATCCAAGACTGGTTTACAGTGTGTTGCCACAATTTAGACGGATGCTTCCACGTGTAGGATCTGAGATTTCAGCTTGGATCTCTCATTCCCTTATTTGTCTAGGGATGTAGGTTTTCAGAGTTGCCGTTTGCCTCCATGTGGGGTGATCCTGAGCCATCATTTCCAGTGATGCTGTTTGATGATTTTGAAAAAGATTCTTGAACTGTTTCATATTTCTTGCGCGTGTTCCTTTGTTTAGTTTGAAAAACTGGACTTATTTGGGAGAACCTGGTGGATTAGGCTTTGTGATTGATGTATGATCAAATAGTAATCATTGCTGCCTTGAGGTTAGAGAGAGAATACCAGCTTTGTAATGCTTGGTTTTCTTGGTTTTAATTTGAATAATCTTTCATAGTTAACAAAAGTTTCCCAGCAATTTAATACTTCATATCTGTTCCATTAGACAAGGTAGAATTTTGACAAAGTGGCAAATTAGACTTAATTTCAGGTCCCCGCCCTCCAACTTTTATTAATTTTCCAAAACTCTATGTAACTTTTTTTTTAAGGGCCTATCATTCAATATATTTCACTGAATGAACGTATCAGGCGCTGACTGTGATGGACAAAGCCCAGTGGGGCTTTCACCAGCCCAGAAGGGGAGATGAGACCTGCCCACTGGCACACGGGAGAAATGCTTCAGGGGCAGAGTATCAGTTGTTGTCCTTCATTCTCGAAAGACCACCAAAATGACATCACTATGTTGGGGTCAAAGGGACAGTGCGTGTAACTGTGGCTGATCAGACCAGTGCGAGCCCAGAAGGCTCTAGCACAGATCAGGCACAAAGAGTCCGTATGAACATGTGAAGTGGAGATGTCTCTAAATTTGTGCATTTCACATTTCATTTGAACTGCTGCAATTCTGCTTTGCTTAGACAGTCTAGCACCTTCTTTGATGTGGGCACGCCATGTTGGACAGTCCTGTGTCCCTTGTCTCACAATCAATACCAGAGTTCTTAAGAGAAGGCTTGAGAGTGCCCGTGTATGGCACTCTCCTGACTTCCATGTGAGCGCCTGCTTTGTGTGAATTCTCTGTAAAATAGTGCTTTAGGCAAGCATACATCTGGCGTTTAAACAACGTGGCCAGCCCATCAGAGTTGCTTGGCAGGTCAGTTTGAGCAAGGACCTCAGTGTCTGGTACCTTATCCTGACAGGCGATCCTCAGAATCTTCCTAATACAACTCAAATGGAAGCGATTCAGTTTCCCGGCATGGTACTGGTAGACTGTCCAGTTTTGATAGTTATACAACAGTGAAGTTAGCATGACAGCTCTGCAGACGTTCAGTTTGGTAGTCAGTCTAAAACCTCTTTTCTCCTACACTTTCCTTTCGAGCCTCCCAAACACTGAGGTAGCTCTGGCAGTGTGTGTGTCAACCTCATCAACTATGTGGACATGCTTGGAAGGTATACTGCCAAGGTAAATGAACTTATCCACAGCGTTCAAAATGTCTCCATTTGCTGTCATTGATGGTGTGATGCTGGCTGGTGGAGAACCTGAACCTGTGTTTTCTTGGTGTTAATTGGGGATGACATTAATATGATATTAGGCCAAAATTAGCACAGGTAGCAGAGAATCATTCCATGCTTTGTTGCATTTCAGCCTTAGGAGTTCAGCCTCATCTGTGAACAAAAAGTCACATCCCAACTCTCCTTCCACTTTCATCTTGGCTTGTAGCCTTTTCAAGTTAAAAATTTGACTGTCAGTGAGGTAGCTGATCTTGATGACCGTTTCCTCCTCGTTGAGTTTCCAGTTAGTTTCATCTGACAACATCCCAGAAAACATGATGCTAAAAAGCATGGGAGCAAGGACACAGCCCTACTTCACTCATTGGTGCCTGGGAAAGCGTGAGACCGTTGTCCGCTATGCAGAACTTGTGCAAGTACGCCGTCACAAAACCGAGGTACAATATTGATGAACAAGTCTTGACAGGATCTTCCACAAGCCCTGATGACCAGGAGATCTACAGACGTGGTGTACAGACCTCCGTTTTGCTCCGGGCATTTCTCCTGGACTCGTCAAGCAGCAAACACCACATCAACTGTTCCTCAGCCCTTTCTGAGGCCACGCTGGCTCTAGGGCAGATGGCCATCTTCCTGGTGAAGGATCAGCCTCTTAAGGAGGATTCTGGCAAGAATCTTGCTAGCAGTGACTAAGAGAGAGACCCCCCACCCACCACCGTGATTGTCAGGGTGTTACCAGCATTCCAAGGGTGGAGAGATGATATCCAGCTGGTGGGGGTGGAATGAGGAATCAGTGGAGACTTCATGAAGGAAGGAGCTTTAAAGGATGAGTAGAGTTTCAGTAGTTGGTGCTGGAGGTCTTTCTGGGGAAAGGGAATGACATTAATATAGGCAGGAAAGCTGAAAAGCCTAGGTCTGGCAGACAGTGGAGTATAGAGAGGAAGGGAATGGTGGGAAGAGGGGTCTGTGGTGGGCATTGGGAAGCCGAAGCCATGGTGCAATTTAGAGAAGGGGAATGATGCAGTCAAAAGCTGTGTTTTGATCCCAGGATCCCAGAGCTAGAACTGGCAGTGACTTCAGAGGCCCTCCCAGGCCAAACCCCTGTAATTTAGAGGGGAAATACCTGCCCAAGGCCACACAGGCAGTCAAGGGAAAAATGCCAGGGTTCAGATTCCTGTGGTCTGGCCGCAGATGGGGCTCTTTCTCTTACCCTCTGCTGCTGGCTTCCGCTTCAGTGCCTTCTGGGTGGGAGATCAGAAGTTCAGGAGTTGTGTCTCTCTTCCTTTGGAACCTGTAGATACAGAGAAGCTCAGGCATTCTGGTATTTGGGCAGTTCTGTCTCTACCCTGTCCCACCCCTTCTCCACCCCCATTTATTTTTGTTTATATCTGTATATTGGAGGTCATGTGTAAGAATGGGAGCTTCTAAGCACTGTGCAGAAGGCTATGGAAATTTGTTTATTAACATTCTAGCTTTACTGTCAGATGAATGAAGGGCTCTGTAGTCCTCTGAACTTGATTCTTCTGAGCTCTAAGGCTCCACCAAGGGAAGGCGTCCTGAAAGTGTGTTGAAATGGCCATTCAGGCCAACTCCCAAGCTTGAGGGGATCCACATGTGTTTGTGAGAGAGTGTGATATAGTAGAAGAACACTTAGCTTGGGAGTCTGAGAACTTGGGTCTAGATCTCTTTACTTGGTGTGTGATCTGGGGCAGATGCTACGCTCCTCAAGTAAAATGAGGCATTTGGACAAGAGGACTTTACGCAGCGAGTCTCTAATCCCGTGCGATGCCAGTTAGATTGCCGGATGGTCATACCTTTTGGTGAATATCTGGATGCTCTTGAGGGTTCCCCGTGGTCCTGAAAGACCGAGAGAGTTCTGCGCAACACCAGGGAAGGCTGTGAGGAGCCTCTTGTAGGGTGTCCTGATGTTTCTCTTACAAGACTTTTCATTTGTCCTGCCGTGGACATTTAGCCTTTAAATGAGCCTTCTGCTTTACCTGCGGTCCAACTTCCATTTGAATTTATACCAAAGACGTGGGCAGCTGCTTTTAGGTAAGAGCTCTTGAACAAGTTATTTAGTTTAGTTATTACCTGGTAGTTTAACTTAGTAATTGTCTTGAGTGCAGATTTCTCTGTTTTTTCCCCATCGCGCATACTCAGAGTTGTGTTGGTTTTTAAAGGGACACAGCCAGAAGAAAATCCAGCCAAGTGGTTTTTAGAAGTGGCTTGAACTTAGGGTTGCTCATGCTTCTTAAACTTTGCGAACAGCAGGATTATTTTGTCAAATAAGGGCATGTATGCAATCTTGACTTTGTTTGATTTCCTGTAGTACTTATGTTGTCGATATTTCTCGGAGTTCAAGAATCTGGTGTATTGCTTCGTCCCACTTCTCTCTCCACTGCAGCCCTTCTTCTCAGTAATCATTGTTAAGCTTTGAAAAAGTCAGCAAAAACACCTAGCTTTCCCCACCCTTTGGGAGGTTGTTGGTGAAGTGTCTGCTCACGTGTTTGCAGCCAAAAAATGCTCCGCTCTATGTGATGGTGCTATGTTTTCATTTTCTTTTGTTTGAATTCTTGTCCACAAGTTTAACTTTAGATATTTTAAAAAATTTTGTGTGTCTCACACTCTGAGTTACAGATGAGCCGCTCATCCGAATTGGTGGACGTTCCCTATGCTAATAAAATCACGTATTTGTTCTCTATGAAAACAAATGTGTGCCTCATTTTAAATAAACAAAATGTTAATTTCCCACAATTTATAAATTGGGAAATGGATTGCAAATTTAATATCAGCAGAACTCAAAGTAATATTCCCTCCGTCACAGTGCCGTTGTCTTCCTTTTTCTTGTCCTCGGCTAATGCTAAATGCATATTGCCTCTAGAGTAAGGACCAAGCATGATGCTTCTCTTACAAATGTCCTTGTTTCCTACTTCATAATTTTGTTATTTGAATTTCTTCTTCTTCGTCCTTCATTCTGGAAGAGGACCAGTGATATCATAAAGGTGCCATCTTGTGCAGGAATTGATTGAAGTGATTCAGAGTTGCTGAAAGTCGTCAGCCTGCCTCCCTCTTCCAAAGTCATTTGGAAGTCTAGTTGCAAGGCAGAAATTAAGATGACTGGCAGTGGCCGGCATGCAGTGGACAGCCCTGACTTCTCCAATGTCTGACGAAGCTGTCAGTGCTCAGCAGCGCCTGCTTTAGGGGCCTTCATGGCTGTTGGAACAAATTGTTCTCATCCACCTGTTCTGCTGGGTGAAGTCTTCACATGTTTGGGGTAGACATTCCCCTGATTCACCAACAGGTTTGATGCCTGTCAGTTACTCTCAGCCTGGTGTAGCCTGTCTGCTAAGAGGATTTTAATGGGGTCTGGCTCCTAGGCATGGGACAGCTTCTTGGAGCTACAGGTGAGAGCTGAGTGGCAGGTGGACCCTAAAGGTGGATGAGCAGCCCTCATATCAGAGGGGTTAGACCCCTACTGAACATCCCACACACCCCAGGAAAATCGCTTTAATGACTGAATGGAGAATGGATTGGCATTGGGGGAGACCTTGAGGCAGGCAGACCCACCAGCAACTCCTGTGGTGGTCCAGGTGTGAGGTGATGAGGAAGTGTCCTAGAGTGGTGGCAGTGCCAGAGAAAAGAAGGGTGCGTATGGGAGAGATGCTTCAGAGGAAGCCTTGGCCACAGCTTGGCTATGGGGGGGTGTGAGAGAGGGAGAAGTCCGGGATGACTCCTGGGGTGGGAGCCTGAGGGCCTTGGAGGATGGTAACATCGTAATAGAGAAGGGAATTAGAGAGGAGGGCATAGGAGGAATGATAAGGAGTTGGGTTTTGGACGTGTCCGGTTTAAGGTGTCGACTGCACATCTAATTTGAGACTATCTGAAAGGCAGCTAGAAATGTAAGATTGGAGGTGGGCAGAAAAGTTAGGGCAGGAAAGGTAGATTTAAAATCATAAGAAATACACATAGAGGTGATAATGAAATGCTTGAGAGCTGATGACATGACCAAGTGAAGTAATACAGAGGGAGAAGAGTGGAAGCCTCAGGACTGTACTCAGAAGGATACTGTGGCTAGAGGGCATGATCCAGATGAGGACCCAGCAAAGGAAACTGAGAAGGAGCCTTCAGAGAGGAGAACCAGGAGAGGGGGGTGTCCTGAAAACCTAGAGAAGAGAGCATCAAGGAGGAGGCAGCGATTGACAGTGGCAGGGCATGGCTGCAGAGAGGCTGAGGAGAATGAGGATTGAGAAGAACATTGGATTTGGCATCTGAGAGATCCCTGGTACCTTTGGAGAGAGCACTTTCAGTGGAATGATGAGGTCAGGAGTCAGATTGTGAGAAGAGAGTGCAGGCAGCTCTTGTAGATGACTTTCTCAAGTTTAGCGACAAAGGGTGGAAGAGACGGGACTATAGTTATTGGGGATGAAGGGATTAAGGGAGGGTTTTTGGAGGACGTTCTCCATCCCGGGCACAGTTATAGGCAATAGAGAATGAGCCAGTGGACAGGGAGAGATTGAACGTAAGTGACTGAGGAGGGATAACAGGGGCTGGTCTGTTGGAGGATACTAGATGGAATGGGGTGATGGAACGGGATCACTTGAGTAGGTAGAAAGGCTATGAGCCTTCCAGCATTTTTGGAGAAACCATCTTGTTCAACATGGCAAGGAATTAAGCAGCCTGAGGGTGGCCTGGGCCTGGGGTTGGGGAGTCTGTCCAGCCCTAGTCTGTGACCCAGTGTGCCTGCAAGCAGAAGAGGGTTTATGTTTTCTTGCCAATCCTCTATAGAAGGGGAATAGTCATCTGGGATCCAAGGTGGGCCAAGGCAAGGAGGGGAAAGGCTGTATTCTCTGGTCCCGGTGCTGAGACCGACAGAGATAACACTGTGGGTCTGCTGTGAACCCTGCTGAGCTGACTGCAGATGTTCATGCACAAAGACCCCGATGCCAGTGTTCGCCCTTCCGATTATATATTGGAAGATACAGAGAGATCATCTAGGGAGCCAGCGTGCTGTATTCCAGACAAATAAGAATTAAAAGAAGAAGAGGGGCTGGTGTGGGCAAGACAACAACTTTTTCAATAGCTTTCCTGATAAATGGTCATTAAGCTCTGCCATCAGAGATGGGGAACTCACTACCTGGTCAAGACAGTCTATTCCACTTTAAAGTAATCTAACTGGTAGGAAACTTTTCTTTGTAGTAAACTGAAGTCCGACTCTCAGGACAGTCATGGCACAGAGAGGTTCTCCCGTAAGCTGGATACATCTTAGCATACCTGGTCTTAGGCACAAGGCAGGGCTTATCCAGTGGCTGCCATCTGCCTTTGGGGCTGAGGCTGGAGGTGCTTCTTGGGGACGAGGGAGACACTCAATACTCTGCTTGCCGAAAGGCTCTTTTGTTGGTCTCATGTGAGGAGAGTCTGTGTAGAGAGGTCGTCGAGGATCTCGTTCAGTGCCTTTGCTCTAGGACCTGGAGAAATTCAGTGTCATGCTAGAACATCTTATGTTTGAGCAGCACCTTGAGTTTTGCCTGGTGCTTTCCATGAGTGCTGTCTCCTCTTACCTTGACAACAGGTGTGTGAGGTAGGCAGTGAGAATGTAATCCTGAGATACCTTTTTCAGGAAGGTATCGCCCATTCATCCGTTAGAATCATCCACAGCTCTGAAGATTATAGCAATGTCAAGTCTTCTTGTACAAAATGACTAACATGGAAATGTTTTACCTAATTGCCCATGTATAACCTATATCAGATCGCTTATCATCTGAGGGAGGAGGGGCTGGACAGAATTTGGGGCTCAAAACTTTAAATAAAGATGTTTAAAAATTAAAAAAAATTCTAGTGATGTAAACAGCCTGCTTAGTCTCCATCAGATGTTGACTGGCAGGTGGGGCATAAACAAAGAGGTAGATGTGTTCTGGTCTGGGGTATTTGCCACGTTGCTGGAGAGGAGCCAGGGCCAAGCCCAGGGCCAAGTAGGCTTCCACAGACAGTCTGAGATCCTCCCAGTGCTTCCATTTGAGGGGGGCATGGTGCTGATTGAGCCCCCTCCAAACACTGCAGAGTCTGCTGGAAGAGATCGGTAATCATTTAAAGGTTTGGCCTGGCCATCCACACTGCTAGGCCAAGTGGATGAAGAATGGTGATTGTTCACATTACAGCAGGCGTTGGATAGAGCACTTACAGAATGTGTCTATTACTGTGCAAATTGGTATAGAAAATGCAGATCGGCTGTGAGTTGGGCCCATGTTTAACAAGAGGAGAGTGGCCTGGCTTGCTTTGGGGAGATTACTGTCACAAGAGTCTTAGGACCATTAAAGGAGCTTTTCCAAGACCCATCTTTTTAACACCAAGATTTGGCCAGCATTGTTGTTTGTCCGTGAAATGCAGAATACAACAATTAAAAGTGACTGTCCCATGGAGGGCAACGGAAAGGTCCATGGTAAGAGTGAGCTGGCTGGAGCTTCTTCAAAGACCAGAAATGGTCTGTGGTCATGTGATGAATCCAGAGAATCCAGTAGTCCTCTGCGGGTCCCCTCATGGTGTCAGGAGAAAGTGAGGAAGTTCCTGAACGTGCTGACCTTTGGGGAGGAAACGGGCAGGCATGGCTGGGTTTCCTTCTGAATTTTGGGAGAGAGCTTCCAGACTGATGAAATCACAGTTCCTTGTGAGCATTTTAAAGCACCAACATCTTTGTTAATTTAAAAAATTTCCCAATAGTTGACACTTTCTCACTGTTGATGGCATTTCTAGCACCTGTGCCTGGGAAAGCGTAATGTGTTCTAAGCCCCGAGTTTCAATGTGAAGAGCTGCTTGGAATAGCATTGTAATCCGGCCCTTTGGCCGGAGGGGCAGCCTCATCAGTGAGGGCTGCTCCTAGCTCTGCTTGCTTTTCTAATACGGAATGATAGTTTTATGTCACAAATTTGTGTTTGTGTTGTTTTAATTCAGCAAGTCCATCTGTGTGTCATAGTGGAGCATGACTCGCTAAATGCAAACATTTGTTCCCATCAAACATGCTCTTTGCACAGTGATTTCCTTTTGTTCCTAGTTAAGTCTCAGAGCTATGACATTTCTTTATTGTCTTGTGAACAACATTTGAGTGTTTCCACTGATTAACAAACAGTTTTGGGAAAAGAGCCCTGTCTGTGGAGGCAGAGAAACTGGGTTCAAACCCCACCCTTTCACTTATGACCTGTGGGGCCTTGGGCAAATTACTTTTCCTCTCAAGGCCTGAGTTTCCTCCTCTGTAAATTCTGCCTCAGATGGCCTCTCAGGCCTCCTTGTTCTAAAGGATGATAGATTCCGAGGTGGGAGGAACCTTTGACATTTTCTAGTTCATCCTCTCACCCTCCTTACGCAGATGAGGAAACTGAGGTTTAGGGCTGAGCAACTTCCTTCGAGACTCTGAGCTCAGGTGAATATCGGTAGAGGGGACCCTGCCAGCCCTGTGCTCGTTCTAAGACCGAGTGAAGCTTTCTGCTTGTATGCTGGCCTTAATGTGGCCACAGGTTAGAGACAGCTTTTTGAGGCCCAGAATGCTGTAGGCTGTAACTGGCTGTGATTTTTGTTTTAGCTCTGGGTCTTGGGCAAAGAACTGAAGTCAGCCCTTTCATTGAGTTGTACCTTTTGTGCTTTCTTCTGATTTCTCGTGTGCTTCAAAAGGATGCGCTTAATTTGCTGATACTGATGGTGAAAAACCGATGACATTGTTGCTATCATTTATTACCTGTCTGGCAAAGAGGGAGGGCAGAAGCCACGAATAGCATTTCTGGAATCAGTTGTAGTCAAGGCCTTGTTCCTCCTGAAGCTGAGTGGGAGAGGCAGGTCAGCAGTCCTGTGGATATGCACACACATTTATATGGAAATCATTCGTAAACGTTTTATACCTGGGAGGATGCAGAGATATATGTGAGTAAGTACTCCTACGCTGACCCCTTCCAGGCTAGCTGGGCTTTGTTTGTTTTAACTATGGCTCCTAGGGAGGACTGGAATGAGATTGTTATGTCTACTTGGAATGGTGAAACATGACTCTAGGAAACAGAGATACAAAGCTGAAAGGGATATTCGGGGTCATCTTCTTGAGCTTCCTCATGTCCCAGAGAAGGGAGCAGAAGGTCCAGAGAACTGAGGTGATTTACCTGAGGCCCCCCACATAGGGACAGGGTAGACCAAGTTATCCAGTCTACACGGGTATTTTTGCCTCCTACTTCCCAAACTTGCCCATGGAAGGCCCTTGGCATTTCCAAGCTGACAAGACATTTCAAAGAGAGAACATGAGTAGCAATCATCCATGGAAACTTTTGCAAAAACACTATCCTAATAGCCCCGAAACAAAGATTGTTTTGTCTCAGCAAATGAAACAAAACTGCTTCCTCTTGAAAAAAATTCCCCCAGGAAAGAGATTAGCAATTGTAATAATATTTTGGCTGGAAGATGCAATCCCTTGTCCAGTTCTTGACAGTCCCAGCCTCCACAAGAACTATGGTGCCTTATCATCTTCATTCTCTGGCTAGAGGGATTGACTGACTTTTGTTAATACTTCTGTTTACCAAATATGCCTTAAATTATTGGTGAGTACAAACAGAAGTTTGACTGGCAGAAATAAAGTAAAAGAGAATGGGGGGCAGGGTTGTTTCCGTTCATTGGAGAAGTTTCTTGAAGGGGAGTTCTAGCAAACATTTCACAGAACTGACCTGGAGCCCAGAGGCTGCTGAGTCACAGAAACGTTTGAGGTAAATAAACTGGATAAAATGTGATCATGGGAGAAATAAAAAAACCAACACAAACCATCTTTTTCATTAGTGACATATTCATTTCAAGGTGCTAAGTTCGTTTCCCCTTGTGTAGCTTAGAGGCGAGGTAGGTAGAGCATAGGGCCTGGAGTCAGAAAATTCAAATCCAGCCTCAGACCCTTAGCTTACTAACTGTGTGATCCTGGGTAAGTCACGTCACCTCTCTGTTTGCCTCTGTTTCCTCATCCATAGAATGGGGATAAGCATGGTACCAATCATGCAGGATTATTGTGAGGATCAAATAAGGTAGCAGTTGTAAAGCGCTTAGTGTATCACCTACGTAAATGTTAGCTATTATTATTAGCGCTGTCGTGCTTCCTTGAGATAATTAAATTAAAGATAGAGCATTTCCAGTTAGGGATTCTTTTGAGAAAACATACCAGACATGAACCTTGGTCAGGATACCAGTCAGTCAGAAAGGAGCTTTCTTTTTCAGAGCAGGTAGGTTTCCCATGGCCACACCCTCTGAGCCCAGCTGTCTTTCATCCCATTCTTGCCACGGCACGTTCTTGCTGGCTGTCCGTGGAGGGAGGAGATAACAGATAGAGACTCTTGGTATAGTTCTTGGTAGCCAGCATGGGGAGCTCTGTGTGCTCCATCTCCATCCGAATCCAGGTTCTAGAGGAACTCCAAGCTGCTGCTTATCTGAGGAGGGGAGGCCAACCCTAGCCTGAGCCCTGTCAGGAAGTCCTCTGGTATAGCATAGGAGAGTTGAGGTAGCAAGCCTAAACTATCTTTCTAGGCAGTTAGTTGATTGCATTACATCTCAAGCACACTTAAAACTAGGATGGGGGAGTGATGACTCCCCCTGCATGCTTGTTTTCTGGTGTTTCCTGGTGTGGTGGAAAACGCTTGCTGATGTTTTGGATTGATAAACAACCGACATTTCTTTTTCATTCCGAGTAAATGGCTTTCTCCAGATGATTGCCCACCTGGTGACTTTCCTTTGTCTACATAGTGGAGCCAGTCACTAAGCATGTACAGCTCACTGGTCCGATCAGAAATTCTGGGCTTTTGGCTTGATCATTGTCTAGTTGTCTTTGCCTGGAGTTATCTGAGAGCTCGCTGAACGTTGTGGTATACCTGGGCAGGTGTCTTTTTTGCTCCCAGGTATGGTCAGTCTTTGCTGATGCAGACATTGGTGGGGGGGATCAGAGAAAGAGCTAAAGTCAAGACTTGTTTGTAAATCAGAACAAATCCAATTGGTTCTGTTGATGGGACAGTTCTACTTGTCTGGGAAACTAGGCTTTTGTAGAGGAAGGGAAAATACTGTTTTGCTAGGGTATCTCTGTCTTGGACCCCCTAGACTTTGTGTGTACAACAGGTTTTTGTATAACCTTCATTTCTGCTCTCTCCCCAGTCAAACCATCCTGCAAACCAGCCTCATTACAAAGAACAAAAAAGAAAGAGGGGAAAAAAGTAGTTCTGCAAAAGCCACCACTAAAGCAACCATGTCTAATAACATGTGCCTTCAATATTTCAGACTCATGGTCCCCACATCTCCATAAATAAGGTTCATTTCCTTAGGATTTTTTTTTTGTAGGCAATGGGGTTAAGTGACTTAGTGCCCAGGGCCACACGGCTAGTAAGTGTCAAGTGTCTGAGGCCAGATTTGAACTCAGGTCCTCCTGACTCCAGAGCCAGTGCTCTATCCAGTGTGCCACCTAGCTGCCCTTCCTTAAGTTGCCAGTACAATTATAGAGCATTCAGCTTACTTTTGTTCTTTTAGTTTGCATTGTTATAATGTGGTTTTTTTTTGGGGGGGAAGGGGGTCTGCTTACTTTATTCTGAATCAGTTCATGTAAATCTTCCTGAGTTCTCCGAATTCTTCCTAAATGTCATTTCTTAGAGTGCAGTAATAACCCATTCTATTCATTTACTACAATTTCTCCCCTAGTAAAGTATTGACCTACTTTATTTCCCATTCTTTGTTGCCATAAAAAGTCAGCATTATATCATGGAATTTAACTTCTAGAATGTTATGAGTTCAGAGGCCCAGGGAGATTAAAGGATTTGTTCAGTATCCCATACTAGAATTAGCTTTGGGGTGTTATATTGCACAGAACACTGGGCCTAGAGTCAGGAAGACCTGAGTTCAAATCCAGCCTCAGACACTTAGTTACTGTGCAGCCTTGGGCAAATTGGCCTCAGTTTCTTTAACTATAAAATGGGGATGATAATAGCACCTACTTCCCAGACTTGTTATGAGGATCACATGAGATAGTTTTTGTCAGCTGCCTAGCACAGTGTCTGGCACAGAGCAAGTGCTCAGTAAATGTATGTGTCCTTCATTTCTTCTTTCTTGACTTTGCTTAATGTTTCTTCCACCACAGCACTGCGTCTGCCTGCATCAATAGGGCAAGAGTGGAGGAGTCTGGGGCCGCTTCTCTGTAGGTTGTGCTCAATGCTTAGAGTCTGCCTTTCCCTAGGGCGAGGGTGATGGTGGGGGAGCTTCTGAGTGGGGAACTGGAGTGTAAAGTTAGGCCGTAAGGTAAAATCCGTAGTACCAAAGACCCTCACAAATCCCCTACAGTCACCCAGAAGTATCTTTAAGTAGCTGCAGTTGGAAAGGGCTTGGGATCTTTTTAAAAGTTGAAGCTCCTTAAGTTGTTATTTTTTTTTCCCTTCCCCTTCCCCATGGATAGAGTTGAATTGGTTCGTAAGTTAAATATGAGTATGACATGCCCCGGATGTATTTAGAAGTTCTGTGGGCCAGGGTGTCTCACTGCCCCAGACTATGTCATTGGTAGATGTAATTCTCATACCAGGAAGTGTCCTAGTTACCATACAGTTATGGGATGCTGTTCATATCCTATGTTGTCTGTCTGTCTGTCTGTCTCTCTCTCTCTCCATTTTTTTTTTTTTACAGATTCATGGTTCTTTTTTGACAACATATTATAATCATATTTGAGTAATTAAGAAAACTAAAATCAGAAGTTCTTTCTTTTCCATTTTCTGTTGCCTCAAGCCTTTGGCCTGGCCTTGAATTTCCGAGTGAGACCTTCGTGTTGTGTCTTGTTAGTAGACCTCCTTCCCCAAGGTTTCCTGTCACCAGATTTTGGAAACAGCTACACAGTGAAAGGCAGTTTGACAAAGTGCTTCAAGCAAACTAACTGTGTTTCCATTTCTTTTACTCTAAAGATCATTCCTGAATGCTAGTGATGGTGAAGCTGGGAAGAGGTTCCTTTAAACCACCACCAGGATGAATCATCTGCCAGATGATCTGGAAAATGCCCTCAGCGGAAGTCAGGGCTCCCATGCTTCTCTGCTCAACGTCCACTCCATCAACCCCACCCAGCTGTTGGCCAGGATCGAGTCCTACGAAGGGCGGGAGAAGAAAGGCATCTCTGACGTCAGAAGGACTTTCTGTTTGTTTGTCACCTTTGACCTCTTGTTTGTTACTCTGCTGTGGATAATAGAGTTAAATGTGAGTGTTACTCTTCCATTCGTTTTAGCTTTTCAGTTTCCAAAAATCAAAGTGGTTTCACATTTTCTTCAACTACTGTTTCCTCCCCATGTAATTCTATTTAAATAGGGTGTCAGTCTAAACATGATGTTTCTGAGCTGATGAGATATGCAGTGGCTTAAACATTTAAGGTTCCTTATTTTGTTGATATTTTAAAATTTAAACTAATAATCTTTCTACTCTTGTTTGTGCCCTAAGCCTTCTCTTCCTCAGTCTTATCATCCTTTGTTCTCTCTCGATGGAGCTTGGCTCTGCAATGAGGCACCAAGTATTTCAGATCCGATCTGACTGGGGCAGAGTAGAACATGGCTGTCACCTCCCTTTCCCTGGACATAATGTCTTATTGCTCAGAGCTATATTTCTATAAAAGTGCTTTGCAATTATTATCTCATCTAATCCTCATGACAGCCCTGGGAGGGAGATGCCATTATTATCTCCATTTTACAGATGAGGAAACTGAGGTGTAGACAGGTTAAGGGATGTGCCCAGAGTAACTTAGTTTGTAAGTGTCTGAGGCAGGTTTTGAACTTGATTCTTACTGGCCTGAAGTCTGCTATTCTGTGCTCTGCTACCACCTCCTTGCTGTCTGGGATCAAAGCAGCTTTTGGCTGCCAAGTCACACTGATGAGTGGCTTGGCTTGAATTGGAAGTTCATTAAACCTCAGTTCTTTTTCCCAAGGTACTGTTATACAGCACCGCCTACTTCATCCTTTACTTTTGAAGCTGATTTTTTGAACCAAAGTGTGTAGCCATTCATTTATCCCTTTTAAATAATAGGTTAGATCTGGCTTATTGGCACAGCACAGGGGCTCTTAGCCTGGAGTCTGGGAACTCTGAAACAAATATTTTGATAAGTGCATCTGAATATAATTACTTTCCTCTTTCACTTCGTGCATTTAAAAACATTGTGATTCTCGGACAATCTAATACAATCTGAGTTGATCCGCAGGTTTTACCGGACATCCAAAGGGATCCATGACCCAGGAACTCTTCAGAAGCCCTTCTCTAGAGTGTCGCTCTTTGGGGATCTTGATGTTCGGTGTGTTCGCTAACCCTCCCCACTAAGTCAGTCTGTAAGTTAGACAAGCATCCTCATATGCCCTAGCCATTATTGTAAATGAGGTCAGCATAGGACCCAGTGACAGAGTCTGGGGGCCCTCTCCTGATAATCTAAAACATTGACACAGACGCTTTAGTGACTGTTCCTTGAGTCTAGTCCTGTGATAAGTTCCTAGTCCAGTTGACTCTTGTCACTGACCCCATCGCTGCCTGCCTTTTCAGGAAGATAAGGTGAATGGCTCAGATGCTTTACTAAAATCTCTCCATGAAGCGTGGCCACAGTATTGTCGGGGGAGGAGACGAGGCTAGTCTTCAGTGTCAGGGTCTCGAGGAAGCCGTGCTGGCCTGTACTTCCCTTTCTGAGGCTCCCTCTTTGTCTTCTCCCTCACTCAAGTTCTCCCTCCCTTTCCTTTTCCTTTGGGCTCTCTGCTGCCACTTGTTCGCCTCCTTTCCTCTGGCCCAAAGGCCCCTGAGATTTGCTTTAGATCTCCCGAGTTCTCGGGCCTTCCTCTCATTTGGAGCACTCGCTGCCTCCTGCATTGGGAAGGATTTCTTCTTAGCCAGAGACTGGGCTTCCTGTAATCAACGGCAATGCGTTCGTTTTCAGGGAAGGATTATTAGCAAATGGAACAGAGAACTTGCAGGAGTAGGGGGGCCAGTTTTAATTGGAACTAGTTTTTAGTGGGACCCATTTGGTTTCTGAAGAAGAAAGCTGAATGCCCCGAAAAGAACTGCTGATCACAGTTTGAAATGCGTTCTGTCCATAACTTCAGCCTTGCAGAGTAGCTGGAGTTTTATAAGTTCCTTAGAATTTCATTTATTTCCAACCTGGGTCGGCTTCTAGCTTCATTTCCACTTCTTTAAAGCCTCTCTCTATGTAGCGCTGTCCCATTCAAATGATGAATATTGTCAAAGGAAGCTGGTTATTAACTAGGTTGTTTGGTGGAGGAATCTGCCTTTTCAGAACTGTCTTTTAGTGTAGATAGTGAGAGTGCAGAGGTGTTTACAAGCCAAACATCTCGCTTCTTCACAGTGGGCACCAACAGGTTTAAAGTCAAGTAGGAATGGAAGAGGACATAGTGGCCCCAGCTTCCTCAGAGCCTACTTTACACTTCTTGCCCCTGCCAGCTTCCAGCAGTCTCTCCTTCCTCCGACACCTCAGATCTTTAGCTACACCTCTCTCTCTGTCTCTCTCTCTCTCTCTCTCTCTCTATGTCTCTCTCTCTCTCTCTCTGTGTCTCTCTCTCTCTCTCTCTCTCTCTCTGTCTCTCTCTGTCTCTCTCTCTCTCTCTCTCTCTCTCTCTCTCTCTCTCTCTCTCTCTCTCTCTCTCTCTCTCTCTCCCTCTCTACCTCTCTGCCTCTCTCCCTAATAGCCCTTTAGATCCTGGAGATCAGGTTCTGGGCCATATTGGGCTGAGTACAGTGGTCAGAACATTAGGTGATTTAAATGGAAACAACTGTGTGTTCACAGCTATGTATTCTAATTGGTGCTGTTGCAATGGAAATGAATTGTGCATAATATTGAAATGATATTTTATTTAGAATGTTAGGATAATCTCCTGAGGTGTTAAAGGGTGCTGCCTGGAAGCCAAAGTCCAGGGAGGTTGTGACTTCCCCCAGGTGACAGTCAGCATCAGGTGAAGGCTTTGAGCCAAGGCTGTCTGCCTCTTGTCTCCTGAAATAGAAGTGCCTGGTGCCTGGTGGACGCAGTGCTTGGTGTCAGCCCAGCCAAGTTCAGGCTGTTATGCCCAGGCCGGCTGCAGGAGGGGGACTCTTTCAACTACCATGCCTCACAGAGCTGATCTGCTGCACTAAACAGTGTGGTCATTTCATCCTTTCAAACACATTTCTGCTTTGTGTGAGTTCAGAATTTGGACGTGCGTGTCCTTCGTTTACTAGTGATAAATGTTTCCATTGTCATCCTCTGTTGCTATCATTTGATATTCATCCAATTGGCATGTTATTAAAGTTAAAATTTAATAGGCCATTGGGCATTCAGATTTGTACATTGACTGTGCATTGGTTTTATTTTGGCATCTAGAACATTTCAGGTAGAAGATTCAGCTGAAAAAAGGGTGACTGTGTTAGGAGAGCAGAGAACAGCCAAAGTCCAGCCTTTCAGTCGGCGTTCCTATTAGGGGATCAATAGCAGATCGGTGAAAACCTCTGTTGAATGCCTCCGTGTTATGAGGCTTCAGAAGTAGAGTGAGAGTGTGGCCTAGTCTTCTGGAAGACTGACAATATGCCCAGAGCAATGGAATGTGGCATCCATGGCAGTAGAATTTCAGGAAAAGGGGGAGATTGTTAGAAGTGGCAAAGGCAAGACTTCGTGGGAGTGAGGGGGCTTGAGCTGAGGCTTGAAGGTGGAGTGGAGGCAGAAGGGGGTGGGAGCAAAGGGCTCAGTGTGAGCAAAGTCACAGATGTGGGAATGGGCAGCGGAGGAGGGATGGTGAAGAATGGGAGAAGATGCATCTTTTGTGTGTCTTGGAAGTCACAAAGTATTAGGGTGGAAAGTGAGGTGGGATCCAATTGTAGAACCCCTTGAGAAGTGGGCAGAGAAAGTTGAGCTTTAGTGTAGTAGAGAATAGAGAGGTGATGCAGGTGCTTGAGGGAAGCTAGGGGGTGCCATAGTGCACAGACCACTGGGCTTGCTTCCTGAGTTCAAATCTGGCCTCAGACACTTCCTAACTGTGGGACCCTGGGCAATTCACTTAACCCTCTTTGCCTCAGTTTCCTCATCTGTAAAATGAGCTGCAAAAGGAAAAGGCGAGTCACTCTAGTATCTTTGCCAAGAAGACTCCAAATGGGGAGTCACGAGAGTCAGACACGACTGAAATGAGTGAACGACAACATGGGTGCTTGAGCAGGGGAGGACGGTTTTAGGCAAGGTCACCTGTTACCTGGACATTTAGAGCTAGGAGGGACTTTACGGATCATTTGGTCCAGTTCCCTCATTTGACAGATGAGGAAACAGAGGCCCAGAGAGTTTTGTTGCCTCACCCCAAGGCCACCCAGCTGGTCCGTGGCATAGCTAGTGCTCAAGCATGGGAGTCCTGAGATCAGAGTCCCCATGCACAGCCTTTCCATGTAGGGAGAGACCAGGAGGCTCCCCAGGATGCTGTGCTGCTGTGGCCCTGCACACCTGTGGGGAGCAGCAGTGAGTATGGAGAGAGGAGAGCAGTGTTTCTGAGGAAGATCAGTCAGCCAGGGAATGGACTGGAGACAGGGGATGTAGGGGAGGGAGGCGTTAGAGAGGCCACTAAGGAAAAGAGATAAAAGGTAGTCATTTGGGCAGAAATGGGTGATTTGGAATCAGATCTGGTAAGGGGAGGAAGATGATTTCAGTTTATGTTTTGTCGAAGTGACAGTGGAGGAGAGGTGTGATTTAGGCATTGGGGTGGGAAAAGGGGCTGGGTTTGTGATTACATTGGTATAGGGAATTCCTCTGTGAGGAAACTCGCTCTTCTGATGTACATTGGCACGTAGAGTGACTTTCCCAGGGTCCTGCAGCCAGGATGTGCCAGAGACAGAGCTTCAACCGGAGCCTTCCTAATTCTGAGGCCAATTCTCTGTTGTGCTATTTGGAAATATGGGAAAGGAGCGTAGGACGAGGCTGGGTGGGAATGTCGCCTTTGAGCCCCCTGCAAAGAGCGACAGCTAAGTGCACGCCTTCAGTAGAAACAGACTCTAGAGGAGGAGCTTTTTAGGCAGTCTTGTTCATTGTTTGGAATTCTGTATGGGCTAAACAAAGCCAAGAGTGGCCCTGCTTGGTCTGTGGGCTGAGCGGCTGCTGTCGGCATCCTTTTCTCTCAATTGGGGAGGCACGAGGTGCGGCATCACCAAACCTGCTTGGTATTTAGGACTGGCTTGTCTTGGTTGTTTGTGCTTCTTTCCCAGCTCTC